CCAAAAAAACGGGTCTAGCCGCGCGCCTATACTATTTCTTTTAAAAAAACCAAGTCTAGCCGCGCGCCTATACTATTTCGTTGAAAAACATTAGAAAAACCGAGTACAGCCGTGCGGCTACACTACTTCTTAAAACCACAGAGTATAGCCGATCGGCTATACTATTTCTTTTTAAAAAATAATATAAAAACCGATATTTCTTTTAAAACAGAGTATAGACGACCGGCTATACTATTTCTTTAAAGAAAATCTGAAAAACCCTAGTATAGCCACTCAGCAATACTATTTAATAAAATTTAAGCAAAAAGACCCTTTGGTTGCATTAGTTTAACCTTTATAGATATTAATTTGGTATAGCCGCGCGGCAAAAATTTGGCAAATTACAAATTTAAAGTTCGGCCACTATATAATATTTTAATATATTTTATTTAAAATGTTCACATACATTATTTGTATTCAATAATATGTGAGAATTTTTTGTATAATATGTGAATCTTTTGTGTATTATTGAAAATGTTGTAAAAAATACGTGCATTAAACAGGAAAAATACGTATGTAAATGTTCAATACGAGATTTGAATGTTTGCCTTTTTCAAAAATGAGAATTTTACAGAGTTTTTAAGATGTATACAAAGCACGGCTATACTATTTCTTTGAAAAAATTAGAAAAACCGCGTATAGTCGCGTGGCTATTATTATTATTATTTTTTTAATTTAGAAAAATGGAGTACTGCCCCGCAGCTATACCATTTCTTAAAAAACACAGACTATAGCTGATCGACTATACTATTTCTTTAAAAAAATTATAAAAACCGATATCTTTTTTTTTTTAAAACAGAGTCTAGCCGCCCGGCTATACTATTTTTAAAAGAATTAAAAAACCGGGTACAGCCTAGCGGCTATACTGTTTCATAAAAAACACATCGTATAGCCGCTCGGCTATACGATTTCTTTTAAAAAATTATTAGGAAAACCGATATTTCTTAAAAAAGCGTATAGCCGCCCGGCTATACTCTTTCTTTAAAGAAATTTGAAAAACCGAGTATAGCCGCGCTGCTACACAATTTATTTATTTATTTTTAAAAAAATTGATATTTTTAAAAAACAGAGTATAGCCGTCGGCTATACTATTTCTTTAAAGATAATTTAAAAACCGAGTACTATAGCCACCCGGCGGAACTATTCCTTTAAAAAACAAATTAGAAACACCCTTAAAAAAATGGAGTATAACCGGCCGGCTATACTATTTCTTTTTAAAAAATAGAAAAACCTAGTATAGCCGACTCCGTAATATTTTTTAAAAAAATCTTTTATAGCTGGGCGGCTATACGGTTTCTTTTTAAAAAAAATAGAAAAAACCGAGTATAGCCCCCGGGCTATACCATGTCTTTAAAAAAAATTAGAACCAAAAACCGATTTTATTTGGTTCTGTATTTGCATAACTCTCATTGTATTACTTGTGTTTGATACTCGTAATTAGTTAATGAATGCCAATGTTGAGAGCTAGCTGTTATTTCCCAATAATATACAAACGCAGTCATGCATAGAATGATCTCTACCTCAATCTCCCGCATAATTACAAGATTAACGAACTTGATTAAGTCGAATCCCACGAACAGTCTGCTAACAATGGTAATAGAGACAGAAGAAGAAAAGAGTTTGCAAGAAGTTTCTGAGAGCAGAAGAGAAAAGTGAATGCTATATATTTCTTACTGAATTGTTTTCACTGTACAGTATATATATGATTACTTAGTCTCTTTGCTTAATGAGTAAGTAATCATGCTAACAGCTGATAGCTAAGCTAACCAACATCCTAACAATTCTAACAGCTCTAACCAACTCTAACCATTGGCCCCCCCCCCCCCTAAATCTCAGTTAGGGTGCCTAAATTGAGATTGGTACAATGTTTAACAAATACTGGGCTATGAAGTCCCTTAGTAAGAACATCGGCAATCTGATCATCAGTAGGAATGTATTGCACCAAGAAGTCTTTACGTTGTACACGTTCTTGAACAAAATGGAAGTTGACATCCAAATGCTTGATACGAGAATGAAACACGGGATTAGAGCTGAGAGCCAATGCAGACATGTTATCACAAAACAACAGTGGAGGTTCTGGGAGAAATACATGAAGATCTGCAAGTATCTGACGAACCCAAGCTACCTTGGCTGAGGCATTAGCAAGAGCACGGTATTCAGCTTCAGTGGAGCTACGGGAGACAGACCCTTGCTTCTTAGATTGCCATGAAATTGGATTGGAACCCAAGAAGACAACAAATCCTGTGGTTGATCGTCGAGTGGTAATGTCCCCAGCCCAATCTGCATCACTATATGCAGACAAAGAAACTGGAACAGAAGAAGAATAAATAAGACCATAGTGCAAAGTCCCTTGAATGTAGCGCAAAATCCTTTTAACCAACTGAAAATGAACCTCTGTGGGGCTGTTCATAAATTGGCAGACAGTATTAACGGAGTAGGCAAGGTCTGGTCTTGTAAAAGTTAGGTACTGAAGAGCACCCACTATACTGCGGTATACTGAAGGTTCCTTTAAAGGTTCACCATCTGTGGGAAGAACCTGTGTGTGTGGTTTAGAGGGAGTTGGGCAGGATCAACATGACTCCATCCCAGCCTTGACTAAAAGATCTTTAGCATACTTCTGTTGACTGATAAAAAGATCACCATTTGACCTGTACGAAATCTGTAAGCCAAGAAAGAAGGTAAGAGGACCCAAGTCCTTGAGGTCAAACACTGAACCAAGATCTGTAATAACCTCTTGAATAACGTGAGGGTTTGAACCTGTGAGAATAATATCATCAACATAGAGCAATAATACAACAATAGTTGAATATGAAAACTTCACAAATAGACTTGGATCACTGTGTGACATTTTGAAACCAAGAGAAGGTAAGTAACCCGTAAACTTGGCATTCCATGCCCTTGGAGCTTGTTTCAAGCCGTATAAAGATTTCTGCAATTTACACACATAGTCAGGATGAGAAGAGTCTTCAAACCCCTGTGGTTGTTTCATGTAAACCTCCTCGTCAAGATCGCCATGAAGAAAAGCGTTCTTGACATCAAGCTGCCTCAAAGACCAGCCATTAATAGAAGCCAAACTGAGAATAAGACGAACTGTGGTATGACGTACCACTGGACTGAAGGTCTCATCGTAGTCAAAGCCGGCCTCTTGACTAAACCCCTGTGCCACCAGTCGAGCTTTATAGCGAGAAACTGTCCCATCTGAATTTCTTTTGATCTTGTAAATCCATTTAGAGCCAACAATATTTGTATTGGCAGGGCGAGGAACCAAACACCAAGTACCCTGCATGGTTAAGGCAGAAATCTCTTCCTCCATAGCCTTAATCCAAGCAGGAGAGAAAGAAGCCACACGAAATGTAGAAGGCTCATCAAGTGTAGTAGAATCATGCAAAGAAGTAAAACACTGATAATCCTCAAAAGACTTCTTTTGACACAGACCAGATTTGGACCTGGTAGTCATGGGATGGATGTTTGAAGAAGAAGAGAGACTAGAAGAGGAATCAGAATCGGCATGAGCAAGAGGAAGCATATGCTGACCTGTCGAAACTGGAAAAGAGTCCGCCAGAGGCTGAACAGAAGAAGAAGAGGCATCTGTAGAAAGGAGATGCGAAGGAGCCCATAGCCTTAATCCAAGCAGGAGAGAAAGAAGCCACACGAAATGTAGAAGGCTCATCAAGTGTAGTAGAATCATGCAAAGAAGTAAAACACTGATAATCCTCAAAAGACTTCTTTTGACACAGACCAGATTTGGACCTGGTAGTCATGGGATGGATGTTTGAAGAAGAAGAGAGACTAGAAGAGGAATCAGAATCGGCATGAGCAAGAGGAAGCATATGCTGACCTGTCGAAACTGGAAAAGAGTCCGCCAGAGGCTGAACAGAAGAAGAAGAGGCATCTGTAGAAAGGAGATGCGAAGGAGCAGCAGGAGAGAACTCTCTACGAGAGGGAGAAGAGGAGGGATGATTGGCATGTGGAACAAGGTTCTCAGAAGAAATGATAAGAGTGGAAGGTAGAGGAATGGAAACATTTGGAGACGCAGTGGACACAATATTGGAATGTAAAGGGCTGGGAAGCTTGAAAGGATAAACAGACTCATCATGGATGACATGGCGAGAGATGACGAATCTGTGAGTAGTACAATTATAACACAACACACCCTTATAGCCCATAAGATATCCCATGAACACACAAGTAGAAGTACGAGATTGCAATTTATGAGAATTGGTCTCTCTTAAGCACGGATAGACAGCAATCCCAAACACACGCAAATATCGGATATCAGGAATTTTTTGCATAAGTCGAAAATAAGGAGATTGATTGGCAAGAACCTTACTAGGCATTCGATTAATGAGGTAAGCTGAATGTGCCATGGCATGAAACCAAAATTTGTCAGGCATAGAAGCTTCAGTCAAGAGAGTAATAGCAGTCTCTACAAAATGCCTATTTTTTCTTTCAGCAAGTCCATTTTGCTGAGGTGTATAGGGGCATGAGATTTGATGAACAATGCCATGAGTAGATAAAAAATCCTGAAACTGATGACTCATATATTCTCCCCCTCCATCACTTTGAAAGTACTTGACTGAGGCATGAAAGTGATTGGTAATAAAGGCAAAAAACTTGAGAAATAGAGAGAACACCTCAGATTTGACACAGAGAGGGTATAGCCACAGAAAACCAGTATATTCATCAATGAAGCTTACAACATATCGATAACCATCAACTGATTTACAATGTGCAGGCCCCCATACATCACTATGAATCCTACAGAAAGGAAGAAGTGCCTTATCGTGTCTTGCAGAAAAAGGTAAATGATGCATTTTACCATTCAAGCAGTAAGAACACATCTGAGAAATGGAATCTGAAACTACCGGAAGTTGTGCTTCCTTAAGCATGAGTTGAACAACCTCATTAGTAGGATGACCCAATCGCCTATGCCACAATGAGGAATGAATTTGTTGTCCAAGAAAAGCCATATGTGGCTGCTTATTGTCTACACGAGTTGAAGAAGGAACCGAGCATGGGATGGGATACAGGCCATGATCACTCTTGCCGTGGAACAGAACCCTGTTGGTGACTTTGTCCTGTATAGAAAATCCAAATTGATCAAAAATCATACGGCAATTATTATCCCGGCACAAGTGATACACAGACAAAAGATTGGCCGTAAGCTGAGGCACATGAAAAACTGAAGATAAAGACCGAGAGGAAGTTGTAGTGGGAATATGAGCGGAGCCAATATGATCAATGCGCAAACCTTCCCCATTTCCCACTCTAACTTGATCGGAAGAGGTGCAAGGTGAAGCAGAATCCATTGTGGTCATATGAGGTACCATGTGATGACTGGCCCCACTATCTGCAATCCAGACAGCATCAGGAGAGAAAGAAGTTTGAGCTGCCATGGCTGTGATGGAGGCAGGTGGTGGAGAACCTTGATAAACATAGTTGGAGCGATGATAACAATCCAGAGCCCCATGGCCCTTTTTGCCACAGATTTGACATTCAATTGTGGAAGAGGACCCGGGAGAAGAGGAATTCGAATTGCGAAAGTAGAGATTGACTGCGGTGTGACCTCGCTTGCTGCAGATTTGACACTCAGGAACAACACCACCACTAGACTTAGGAGGACCTTGAAACCTGCCTTGAAAACCACGACCAAAAGGTCTAGAACCAGAGGATCTGCCTCGGCCACCAAAAGAATGAGAAGAAGATCGACCAAAAGGCTGCGAACTCATATAAGCAGTATGAGGCACTGGAGGAGTTGGAAGGAGACCATCACCGTGACCAGAACCAGAGAAGGCATGGGAAGAAGCAGAGGGAGAGGATTGACTTAGCATGCCAACCATAGGTGCATGAGAAGAAAGCACGCGTGCCTCTGCAGCCTGTTCAGCCGCAAGCAATTGATTGCGAAAGTCTTTGAAGGAAAGCGAAGTGTCACGAGCAACCAGGACTGTCCGAATCATATCATACTTAGAAGGAAGGCCATTCAAGGCTGCAATCATCATATCATCGTCGGACACCGAAAGACCAGGGATAGCAAGATGATCGCGAATGTGTTTGAGGCGAAGCAAGAACTTCTCAATTGATTCAGAGCCTTTCTGTGCAGTCTGAAGCTCGGTTTTGAGATGATTGATACGAGCACGAGAGACCGTGGCATAACGATCCGTCAGATTCAACCAGGCATCATGCGCCGTCTTGCAACCGATGACATATTCTAGCGCCTCATCAGAAAGCGTGGCAATCAACAAGCTAAGAAGTGCTTTGTCGGCCTGCACCCAGGCCTTGTAGGCTGCAGTGAGTTCAGAAGTAACACCTTCCTCATCCAAAATTGCGAATTTTGGCGGTGCAACATTCGAGCCATCAAAATGGCCAAAGAGATCGTACCCGTCCAGAACCGACTCGAGTTGATAACGCCACTTCAAGAAGTTATCATCCTTCAACCGGATCGTGATGAGACCGAGAATACCGTCAATCTTGAGATGTGAAGTCGCCATGAAAGATCGAAGAAATGAAGAACAGAAATTGAAGATCAAAGAGATTGAAGAACAGAAATCGAAGATCGGTTGAAGAGATTGAAGAACAGAAATCGAAGATCGAAGAAATTGAAGAACAAAAGTCGAAGATCGAAGAAATTGAAGAACAAAAGTCGAAGATCGAAGAAATTGAAGAACAGAAATCGAAGAACAAAGAAATTGAAGATCGAAGAAACCGGAAGAACAGAAATCAAAGATCGAAGAAATTGAAATTACATAATCGTATGGCAGACATGAAGAGAACGAAGAAATTTGCAGAAACAATGAAGGTGAAGAAAACAGAGGGAAAGAATAGGAAGAATAGGGTAGCGGAAGCAAGAAATCAGGCCCTTAGAACCACGAAGGGCTCTGATACCATGCTAACAATGGTAATAGAGACAGAAGAAGAAAAGAGTTTACAAAACCAAGAACAACTTCCACAAGCTACATACTATCAGCAGGTTTTAGGTCCAGTCAAGCAACGAACAAAGTAACACCATTGCTTCTTCTAGCTCCTGGGGCTTAAGCATACCCTGGTGCTTGTGGACCAATTGTTCCAACACCACACAACGACACTGCTCATGAAGTACCATCTTCAATTGGTTGCAGCATTCTGCAAAAGTTTCTATATGCACTTCTCTTTTGAGCATCGTGACGTAACAAATTTCTCGCACGGATTGATTTCCTTGATCTGGTGCTGTTCGCGGCTACCCTCTTCCTCCATTGCAGTTGTGGAAGCACTGAAGAAAAGTAGAATCGAAATGGAAGTTGCTAATGTGGTTAGCTTTGGCATTGTTGTGTTGGATTGGTGAAGACTTGGTGTGTAAGGTTATGAGTGCATTGATGGGTATTTTATATATATATGAATTGTGTGATGGAGGATAGGAAGAGTTGGCTATTTAGAAGGTGCTTTTTCGACTTATAATCAAGGCCGACGACTATTTGGTCTAGTGATATTTAGTCTCTACGACAATTGTTTCTAGCTTGCTGCAACAAAAATTAAATTACCATTTACATACCAAACCCTTGAAGTACTAATTCTCTGTGGATGGATGGTGCAGAAAAACAAAGCTTTCTTCTTTGTTTTCTTTCTTGTTTAATAAATTTACACTGAAGAACAAAAGAATGCATTTTTTATACAAGTTTCTAGCCCACAACGCAAGAAACTTCAACATGTCCCAAGAAATTAATGCCACAACAACTACAGTCTATAGAGTCTGGAGATCAACCAACCAACACAGAGCCACTCTGCAAATTCAATTATGATAAATATTGACTGTTATCTAAATCAGTCACCGCCAATATTTCAGAACTTGGTCAGTAATGGTCCGCACCCCGCTTCCTTTATTTTTAGCCATTATCATCCTTTGCTCCTTTATCTGAAGGTTTGTTGATGCTAGTACATGCCACATGCATACGTTACAATTAAGTCCTAATATTAATCTGTATAATATGTATAAAAGAGTAAGAAGAGTATTTTAAATTTGTATAAATACATAGCTTTGTCCAAGTTCCTAAACGTATCCATTAACAGTCGAGATGGATGGTTGGATTGGTTCCAATTCCAGTTGAGTGATTCGAGTCCACCGGTTTTTTTCATTTACTGACTACATTACTGATCACTTTTCTAATTGACTAATAAATATAGTTCAAATAGTATTATTGTCGTACAAATATTTTGCTCACACAAGGTATTTTTCTTAATATCTAAATATGGACACTCTTTTGTCTCATTGTCGTGCCTTACTCCTACCGATTACAGTTTCATACATAAGTAAAAATGATTTATCAAAAACACAAAAAATATAGTATTTTGCACACATATCAAAATGTGATTGACATAAAAGTAGAAATTTATCCCGTTATTGTGAAAGTTGGCCGGCAATATCCTCCTTTCAATACTCTCCATTGATTCCGGAGTCACGCAAAAGGTCATTGATGAAATCATCCAAATCCCTTAAGAACGAGTTCTCATGATGATCTTTTCTCACAGAACCAGGAAGAGTTGCATCTGCTGCATTCTCAACCATTTGATCATGATCATGATCATCATGCGATGGGATCATGGGAGAAGCCTTTGTGCAATTGAATGTCTTAATGCCGCGTTGATTATTAGGGTTAATCTTGATGCCACATCGTCCTTCCTCTAGAACCCTCTTGCTCAAATTAATATTCCAGAAGTTCTTGATTTCATTATCTGTCCGACCTGGTAATCTTCCCGCGATGAGGGACCACCTGATCATCACCATAACCATAATGTTAATTCAGATAGATAAACATTATTAATTGTTTATCTTTGTTTGCATTGAAATTATAAATAAGTATTAATAGCTTGGAAGACCGTATGACGTGTCAATATGTCATACTTGTTTCCAAGAAGCTTGTGCATTCTGATAATGAGGTCTTCTTCTTCGGGAGAAATGTTGCCTCTCTTAACATCAGGCCTAAGATAATTCAACCATCGCAGTCTGCAACTTTTCCCACTCCTGTTCAACCCTACAACAAGAAACTAAATACTTTTATATACGTAAATAAAATAAAATAAAATGATCGATCTCGAAATATATATATATATATATACACACACGATACGAACCAGTTTTTTTAGCAACATGGCTCCATTTTCCTTCTCCATGTGTTTTGATGTAGTCGGCAAGGACTTTATCTTCCTCAGCACACCATGCTCCTCTCTTTTGCCCGTCTTTATCACCGGAAGGTTTCCTCCCCATCTCTCTCTCTCTCTCTCTGAGTACATAAATGGTGTGTGTGCCTGAGAGGAACATATATAGGTCCCTTTTTTCACTTGAATTCCCTAGCAAGTAATGTTTTTTGGAGTTAAAATAAATTCTTAAGATTTAACCGCACTAGTGCTATATATAAACCAAAACGAAATATCTACAACAATTTAAGCCCATAACGTGTGCTGGCAGTGGCACCGCCATCTTCAATGACTCTGCTATCTCAGTCAGTCTCACGAGCTATGCTGATCTCAGAGCATTATATATGGATAGATCAACCCCTAGGTAAAAATTATGCTAATTAGTCTTGTTTTACCACAATTAATTAAACTTTCCAAAATCAAACTTGTTTTTTTTTTTTCTTTCGGCATAGCCTCTTTTTCTAGTTATTATACTGAGTTTTGTTTTGAAGAGAAAATGCATGTTCAAATAATGATAGAGGAATCACATTAATTTTCATGACCAAATTATAACTGCTCATATAATAATTGATCTAAATATGTTCAACTAAGGTGGCCAAAAAGTGCAGACATTGGCTTTAGCCAAGTTGACTAGAACGAATGTGCTCCCAACTCTGCACCTGAATTCGAATCCTTCACACCCTCTGGTTTAGATTAGATTAAAGTGGAATAACATTTGTTAACAAAAAAAAGTGTCCAAAAACTATAATCATTATAGAATATATAATTTATTATGCAAGTTTTTCTTACTTTAGCTCGTGAGTCGTGACATAAGTTGTTCTAACATTTCACCTAATGCAGTGTATATGCTAACCTGGGCTATAGCCCAGGTGATTTGATATTTTATAGCCCAACATTAATACCCCAGCCCATCCAAGATCCAAAGAGAAACTCAAAACTCTCTATGAACATATTCTTCTTTCTATATATGCAATTTGGGAATAACTTATCATTGTGCCGACAAAAAAAAAAGTGTTGTAAATATCAATAAATATGGAGGGGGAGGGTCCATTCGGTCCCGTCATGTAAGGGGGTTCCACTTGGTCCCGTTATGTAATTAATTTTTAGTTAAATTCCTTAATGATGTAAAATGATTAAATTTGGGCGTTTAAGTTTAAATAATAAGGAAAGAAACACCTAAGGAAAGTTTTTCTCACACACAACCAAGATGTCATGAGAGTTCAAACCTAAGATCTCTAGTCTGCAAGTCAATGCCTTTTTACCATTAGACTAGACTTCGTTGACTCCAAAATTCTTTCTTCTTCTTCTTCTTCTTTCTCTCTCTCTCTCTCTCTCTCTCATAACACAAACAATTGAATTTAGGAAGAAAAAAGAAGAAGACAATAAGTGTTCATTTGCATAAAAAAATTATGTACTGATAAGCATAAAGTAAAATAAATAAATAAAATCTAGGATATATTGTGCTTAGTGCTTTCAAGTTATGATTTTTATAAAAGGGCAATAGAATTTTATTAGATGAATAAGAATAAAGAGTACAGAGGACATAGACTATAAAGGGAGCCATACCAATAACAATATGGCAACTATGGGTAAAACTTCTTTAGTGACCCAAGCCAGCCGAAAAGCTAAAACAATCTGGAGAGAACCACACTCTAAAATAATTTTTCTAAAACCCCTTTCAACCACCATAATATCCCTAAATCTAGTCCAATGACATAAAAGACAAAAACTAACAGCTAACCGACATGACTCTCTTAAAGAGAATATGAACACCCAACAAACTCAACTAAGTTTCTGAAATTTATTGACAAACTAAACCAAAATAATAATAATAAACTACAACGTCAACAAAAGTAAGACCAACCGCCCCTAATCTTTCTTCGGGGCATGAAATAGAGAGTGCAACCTTGTTACTCCAGGGCCTCAACGCATTAATGAGAAGTGGATCTACCATGACCAAGCTAAAACACCTCAATGAGCAGCCTAGCAAGATGAGGCACAACAAAAGCAAGCCCATGTCTAAGACAATAGATCTGCCAAAAGAAGAGTATATTGACATAGGTCTACCAACATCCGAAGCACACCGAAGATCCAATGAGATCCATTTGGAGCGTTCGTTCTCTCTCTCTCTCTCTCTCTCTCTCTCTCTTAGCAGTTAGGGTTTTCTGTTTATTCAACCAAGTTAGGATTTAATAATGTTTTAGTTGTTGATTGCTTTGTGAGATGGTTTACTTTGTGCTGGTAAGAAAAGCATTCTTTAGCCTTTGAGGAATGGAGATTTCAAACTTTTGATTGATTGCTTATTGGGGGCTTGTTGGATTCGTTGGCGAGCACTGATGATCATTGGAGACATCAAGTTCATTTACCAACGTTTCGATGTTGTGCAGTTTCGACACAATTTTAGAAAGGCAGACTTTGTT